TACACACATGCACTAACACACATTCACCTACATACACTTAGACACATTCATACACTCAAGAACATACACTTACTCACATATATTCACACACACACACACACACACACACACACACACATACACACACTTACACACACTCATACACACACGCACTAACACACAGTCACTTACACACACACACACACACACACACACACACACACACACACACACACACACACACACACACACACACACACACACACAGACAGACGAGCTGATGACGTAGTTACCACTCTCTAAGGCCTGACACGTGAGCGAGGCGTGGCTGGGGGTGGAGGTGAAGATCAACACAGCATCCAGGCTGTAATGTGGACACAGTGCAGGTGAGCAGTGAGCTTTTACGTCATGTTCTTCCATCTGTATTCATATCTATTTTTTTAATCTGTATTTTACATCTGTTTTTAATGTTAAATTAATAGTGTTTTCCAGGCATTTCAAATCTTTTTCTACGTCTGCTTTTTATGGGGGGTTTTCGTCTGTTTTATGCATTCTTACTTTTTTTGGACCGGGGTGGTTTTGTTTTTAAAAAAGTAATTTGTCTTTCAATCTGTTTTGTATTCCAATTTGCTTCTATATCTGTTTTCACACATACACAAACAAACAAAAAATTTAAAAAATATAAACAAAAAACTACAATTTTTTAAAAGCCGCCAAGGTACAGTTCTTCGCACATTTTACCAAACGCATGGACACAACAGACCTCCTGCTCGGATTAACCCTCTCCGTACGCCCTGGCGTCAATTTGTACCCATAGAGTTGTATTCTTCACATGTTAGAATACTTCTAGTGCAAAGATCTCTTTGAAACTTTCAGTATTAAAATTTCTCCAAAAAATCATTATTACAGACTGCCATCCAAAGCGTACGGATCGGATTAACGAGTACATTTCCTCTTTGGAAAGTGGTGACACAGAATGCCCCACTTCGTATGGATACGATAGTAAAACACGACGTACGGAAAGGGTTAAGCAGTTCACAAGGTCGAAAAACATTAGGTTGCTGTGCTGTATGAACTACACGATTTCAGTAAGCAGGCGTAAGGGAAATAATAAAGTAAATAGCCAAATTGGCACCCAAGATGGCGGAGTTGCCTCCTAACAAGTGAGTTAAAATGATAATATTTAATTTATGCGATTGAGGTCAGAGATCAACGTTTGAAAAACATGAATTTCATTTTGTTTTATTATAAAACAATTGTCTAACACTGAATTCATGCATAGACATGGCAAAAGAAGAAGAAGAATGAGAAGAAGAAGAAGAAGAAGAAGAAGAAGAAGAAGAAGAAGAAGAAGAAGAAGAAGAAGAAGAAGAAGAAGAAGAAGAAGAAGAAA